GTGGGGATAAAATTACCGACGTTGATTGGACGTTGGGGTTCACGCTATTGAGAAGTTTGGCAACATAGAACTTTACTCCCTATTTCATTTCTTTTACCCAATTTCCGGAATACGGATATTTGGTTTCTAGAAAAACTTTTAGGAAAAGAAAATCCAAAATTCTCTCTGGGAGTAAAAGTTTTATTTTTTTTAACAACTACATTGCAATAAAATAAATAGATTCTTATATGTGCTAATGGACCATAGAAGTAACCTTATTTGCCTAGGTAATTCTTACCGAAATCATTATTATTTAACTATCAAACAATATTTTCTTGAAATATATGTAAATAATAAAATTTTGGATATTACCACTTTTGAAAATCATGCAAAAAGCAAATTTAATTATCTTTTAAATCGCTGTTCTAACGTTTTAAAAGAATGTATTGAAACTAGGAGTTCTTTCTCAAGAATTTTATTTCGAAAAAAATACACACGTACTCGCCTAAATCATTACAGTTTAGCGATATTTTTTCTTTCTTAGATAAGACAGAATTTCAAATTTTTATTTCGTGTTTCCCTAAAATGTTACAATTGTTGAATAATTTTTATTAAAAGTAAAATACAGTGAAATTCTGGTGGCTATAAACTATAGAAATGGGGAATAATCCCAAGATTACAAAATTCAAATATTTTTTTTTCTTTTAGACTTGTTCACGATATTTTTACTAAACTTGCGAGCATAGAAATCGAGAAAATGTGAGCTGTTAAAAATATCAGATAAAAAAAATATGCTGTTTGAAGGCGATTTGATATGGTTTAATACGAGTTTAAATTGATCAAAATTTATTTCTGATTTTTAGGTTGAGCATAGTAAAATAACTACACGAGTCAAATTAACTTTTTTTTATCACTAAAAACAAATAGGGTTATTGACAATTAGCAACTCACCAATTATTTTTTAATAATAAATAAAAATAAAATAAATTTTAATAATAAATCTAATCAAGTTCGCTATTGTTTCTTGTGGAATGTTACGCCACTCTTCGTCCACTGCCTCAATAAGCATAAATGTTCGATCGCATTGAGGTCTATACTGCATGCTGGCCACTCCATACCTCGAAAACCGACTTCTGTAATGTAATCTTGCACGATCCTTGCGATGTGCGGCCCAGCATTGTCATGCATAAAAAGGAAGTCTTCTCCAATGTAGTCGACATAGGGTACCACATGATCTTATAAAATATCCTCAAAGTACCGATGAAAACAGGGTCGGTTCGTGCGTCCATATAAATTGCACACCAGGAACCAAGTCCAGAAGGGCTCCACCCTTCATTGCAGCATTCTACAAATCGCTCTCCTGGGCTTCGGTACACTTTTTTTCGTCGGTTACTACCCAAAAGGCATATTCTGGTCTCATTTAAGAACAGAACAGACCTCCATTGGTCCAATGTCCACTTCAGCTGATTGCTTGTCTATGAGCTAAAGTAAGTTTTGGACCAATTACAGTTGTTTTTGGTATTCTTTCAGTCTTCATCTCAATATCCATTGACTAATAGTCACTCTTCGAACTTCATGGAGCTGTTGTTGCACGTGAACCGCATTAAGGTTGTTATAGTTCACACAATAAAGCGGTCATCCCGAGCCGTTGTAATTCGCCTTCTGCATGTTTAAGGGCGCCTAGCAAAGAATCCAGTCTCCTCATACCTAAAAATTTATGTTTCTTTGAGTTTTGTGAATAATCCGTATATTGTTACTACTAAATTTAAACATTGCCAAAAAACGCAATAATAATGAATGAACTTGATATTTTCAATTCCGATTTTTAGGAGACTCTGAAAGAGATTGAGATTGGAAGAGAAGTGCTTATTCAAACATATCCGTTTCAGGTTTTTAACAGAAAATTTTTTCAGCTATTTAGACTAACAAAATCTCTTGTTCCACAACTTGTGCGTGGTTGCACGCACTAGTATTTAGAACTAGTACGATAAGGAACTATAATAGTGGCATAAGTATTAAATAAATTTGGTCAAAAGAACACACAACACACAACTGACTATCGCCATTAGTTGACGAAAATGCTGGCAATCGCTTCTTCCTGTTCCATTTATATTCTATTTAGTTTCCAGAGAAACTTTTAGGAAATAGAAATCTTGATGGACTAGCCAAAGTCGCCATAACATGCAAGCAAATCCCGGGCGCAACAGCAAGGGCCACTCGCCCACGATCGAAACATACACCTTGTATTTTGCCGACGTAGCGGCAACAACGGCGTGACGATAAACAAACGGCGTCGTTAAAACAAAATTACAACAAATGGCGGCGTGGTATTTTCTCGGAATACCCGTAACCGACTCCCACCGTTCGCGAACAAACATTTCTTCGGCAATATTTATACCACCAATAAGCCAATTACCCGTACATCATTTTCGCTGCGCTGTTAGCGAGGATCCGCACGACATGTAGGGCACAATCGTCCGCAAAAAAAAATCAAATAAAACGCGATCGATTCTGGCGCGGGAATTCGCCGCGGGCAGTGGCGTGCTTCCCGAAAACTCTGTATTATTATTATTATTTCCTTATTTATTCACGGACATAGCCCAATAACAAAATGCTAAACTTATAATTCACAGTAGGATAAGGCTAAAACTCAGATATAAACTATTTAAGACAAAATAAAGTTTAGATCAATAACAAAAATAATAACAGGAAGAGGTAACTAAAAAAAAAACAGAAAAAATAATGACTGGCAATTTCAACTAATATGAATATGAAAAGGGTCAATTTGGTAGTCTTGCTTATCTGGAAATAAAAGTATTGGGTCGCTAGGGCCAGATCAGATACTTCTCCTATACCTCCACATATGTTAAGCTTAATGGGATTAATACGGAAGTATATTTCGATCCAAGCAGCCCCTTACGCATAACCATTGCAGGACCGTTCTAGGAATTTATCTATCTACCCTAAAAAGCCGGATATAAGGATCTTTGCAATTCTTGAAACATGTACATAAAAAAATATAAAAAAATAGTACAAAGTAACAATTTATTACGTTCTGTTTCATTACATTTCTACATAGTATAATTTTCCCTTCTGCATTTTTTATAAAATTGTAAACATTCAAAACAATTTGTTTAGCATCCGAAGACAAACGGATCCGCTTTTTTATTAGGTTCGACTACCACCTCCACCACTCCGTCTTCAAATTCTGCGTTGTTTTCCATGTCCTTGATCTAACAGGAAAACATCTGCTTCATTCCACGCTCTCCACATTTTAATGTGTTAAAAAACAGGAACATTCAAAAAATGTTGAATTGTAAGATTCTTATAAATATTTATCTGTATTCTTATGTTTATGTTTACAAATCGAAGAACTATGTAGAAGATACAAAAATACAAGAAGAAGACTATTGTTAATCGACAGGCATCCAAGACAAAAACGATTATTTTCAAGCTTCCTTCCTGTTGATTTGTCAGACTCTAGTAACTCAATGTCTGCTCAATGTCAATAACCGAAGAGAATCCAAATGGACACGATAAAAATGAGACCACACTCAAGCTGGGGGTGTACTAGGGCGCAGTAATGATTATAGGTTGGTGAAGTCTTGGATATCGATTCTAATCTGAAAAGGTTTTCTAGCGGCATTATTTAAGTGATCGGCAAATGCATCTATTTAAGAGAAAACTGGACCAATTTTGTAAATACATTTAATAGGAGCCCTAGAAATCCGTAAAATTTCTATTACACCAGTTAAGAAGTCAAGTAAAGGATTTATTGAGATCATATATGGCAGTTGGTCATAATCAACAGCAAATATAATATTAATAACGTTTAGAACACACACAGAAACTGAAAATTGAATAGAAAATGAAAAATGAAATGAAAAAATGACCGCCCTGCGTCACACTACTATAGCGTGTTCATAAGTTATACTTTGTTGTCGTCTGTTTAGATTAAATGTGGCTCTTATTTTAAAAAATAAAACCTCAAACACATCTGCGTCGTCTTCGATATCCGTATCGAAAAAAAATTTTTTTTTCTCTTTTTTCGAACCTCAATTTTTCCTTTTGTTTGCTTTTGCAGGGCTCTTTGGCCAAATTCAAAATGTCGTTGATTCATTCAGCGGTAAGTTATCAGGTACAGGGTGTTACTTAACCATAAACCGAAATGCAATAAGTGTCGCTACGAATCAAAATAATAACATTTGCCCAATAAATGCTGTTAAGTGTTAAGTATTAGCCACTAAATAAGGCGTACATTTTTGAAATATCTCAAAGTAAATTAAAGAACAACTTTCGCTATTCTTAATAAATGCATTTTGATCTGTTTTTTCAGTACTTGTAAAACTTGAGATTTCGGTATTGGGGAGGATATTTTTTTTTGGTTTATTTTTGGGGGGTGGGCGGCTAAGTTATAGAATACTGTTGATAATTGATTTTCTTCGGATTAATCCACCAAATATTTAATAATTGTTGTATTTTTTATTGCTCTCATACTTCGTTTTGATTAATTCTTTCTTAAACAGGATCACGGATATTTCAGTTTAGGTTAGTGGGTTTGTTAATATCTAAAAGTAGCATAATAGTTACGTTATAAGTAAATAATCGAAGCGCCGTAATATCGGGACGCCGCCACTGCCTCCACCGGCAATAATAAACACACGCCCATCGCGCCGCTACCGAGGAACAGGTTCCTGCGAGCTGTAATCAACCTGCTGCTGCCGCTCGAAGTGCCTACTCCCCGATGAAGGTACCCGAGGCTACGTACGCGCTGACCCCAAAGAAAAGTCAAAATTGGGAGCCGATGACTAAACCGCTCGTTCGAGTGGCTCGGGCTTTGTTTAGGCGCGATGAATCAGTGACAAACGTCACGAAAAATCGATATCACGGTCGCGATGTAACAGGATTTTGAATTTCGAGTGGGTGGCGGGGAGATTTTCAATTGAAATTCCAACGCGAGCAGTAAAAAAAAGTCTCATTAACCAGTACGTAAATTCGATGAAACTCTGCTGCCTTTACAGCTGATGGTTATCTATTGGCATCATCATAGCGGTGAGTCAGACACACCTCCGATAAGATTAGGCGAGCAATAAAAGCTTGGGTATTCTTCCAACTGCACGTCTCATCGATAGCAGCCATGGACCAGCATCTGCGACGGGATCAAGAAGAACTGATCGTTAGTGTGGCGAAACGAAAGGGTATCGTGGAACCGAAGATCCAAACGGAACCGGGTTCCATCAAAGGTGACAACTACTTGAGCGCTATCGTCAGCGTAACAGTACGGGACGAACAAGGCGACAAGAAGCTGAACATTATCGCGAAAAAAGTCCTCAAAGGCGAGGAGACGGATCAGCCCAGGAAAAAGCTAAATCAGCTGTTTTCCACCGAAGCTCTGGTGTACCAAGAGCTACTGCCGGCTTATCGCGAGCTCCAGGAAGTGAATAACGTGAAGGATCCGTTCCGAGGTTCGGCAGAATTCTACGGCGCCATCTTGGACGAGGAGAAGGAAACGATCCTAATGCAAAACCTGAAAGAGGACGGGTTCAAGCTGTGGCAGAGGCAGGTGCCCATGGACGGGATCCGCGTGGAAATAGTGATTCGGGAATACGCGAAACTCCACGCGGCGTCGATGGCCTTTAAGAATGTTTATCCTGAAAAATTCGAGGAATACGCGGAAAGATGTAAACTATCGGAAAACAATGACGATGACAAGAACTCCAACGGGTTTGTAAATGTAGCTGAGCAAGTTGCCACGATGTTCGAAAATCGGCAGGAACTTAAAAAGAGTTTGGATATATTTGGACAGAGTATGAAATCATTTTTGGACGACATACGAAAAGAACAACAGGTTTTCCTCCACGGAGACTGCTGGTGCAATAACATTTTGTACAAATACGAGGTAAGCTATCTGAAGTTCTTAAGCAGAAAATCTTGTCGTTCCTGAAAACTACCTAGGACTTAGGAATTGTAGAGTATCCGCAGTGTGGCAACCACTAATGTCCAAATTCTTTTTTCAGGATCCCAGCAGCCCGAATCCCACTAGAGTATGTTTCATAGATTGGCAACTAGCTCGTGCCGGATCTCCAATACTTGATATTGCATACTTCTTCATCTTTAATTCCACTAAAGAGGTTTTGAGTGACCACAATAGGTACCTTCGTATCTATCACGACGTCCTGTCCCAGAACTTAAGGGAATTAGGTCTCGACCCTGAAAAATCATTTAGTTTCGAGACGCTCATGGACCACTGGAAGAAGTACGCTAAATTCGGAGTTTTGATGTGCATTCTTCTTTTGAAAATGATAGTCTCCGACAGTCAAGACATTCCCGACAATTTCAATGATATGGTTAAATTAGAATTATCTGACACCGCCGAAACGAGGTACAAAGAGAGGATAACCAACGTGATAGAGTTTATGGCTCACAATGAGCTTGCCTAAAGTATATTGTCAATAAAGTTTGTCACCTTTCTATTTGGCAACCCACTGATAAAAATGAGATAATTTCCGTTTAACTAGCCGCGAATTTCGAACAGAATAACGTACAACAATTCGCAATCAAATCAAACACTGCTTATCAACTATTGTTGGCATTTGCGATCAGATTTATCAAAAATACTTTGAAGGAAACATCGATGTAGAAGCCAAAAACAACCAAGAGTAGATCAGAAAATTTTTTGGTCTTAAAAATTTCGTTCTTTTAAAAAAGCATTTGTTTGATTATGACCAAACATTTATTTCAAATTCTGGAAAGACGTATTTGAATTATTTATACTGTTTGCATTAAGTAAACATATTTTTATATAAACTAGGCAATAAATGTTAATTTGATTTAGAAATATGCGTTTAATATTAACTCACTAAATATCTGTGCCTGTTATTTTGATGAAACACATGTAATTTTCTTTTAGATTTTTTTTATTTGAACCGATGATTTCACTATTTAATATAAATAAATGGGTTGGCTGGTCGCAAATTGAAGTTTAGGAATGAATAAAAATTGTTAAATGCTTAATAAATAATTTCTCATTAATAAGCTAAAACCTGAAGAAAATTGTGCAAAATACTAAAATAAGTAGTATTTAAATATTTTTAAACGCATTTTCTTTTAGTCGGAGGCTCATCTTAGTTAGGATGCTTCTAAAATACAAAATGAGTTTGTCAACAACTATAACAAATAACCTATGTAAGACAACAAGTTAAATGTTACTAAATGCGACTGTTTTTAATTTAGTTCATTTGGAAATAAATAATTATTAGTATGATAAGTGCTGACTGATACCTCATCAAGGCCATATCGTAGATGCTCTGTAATAAGTTTGTTTTAAACTTAACATTTATTAATTTTATTTTTATTTTATTTTTTATTTAAGCTCAAAGCAGATAAAAACTAAAATATTAAAAACTGATCTCAAATGACGCTAAAACATTTTGAGAATAGGTACAAACTTTAGCTGTCGGAATGGTTTTTGAAACGCGAAAAAGATTGTTTATTGCTGATGGGCAAAGAGGGGGACCATACTAGGTCAATATATCATCTGATTCTCTATTACGCTAATGAAGTTAATGGGACGGCTGAGACTTGTGTGAATCAATGTCTTATTAAAAACGTAATTTTACTTTAATTTAATATGTTATATGCCTTGAATCACAATTACATACATATTAGCAGAATGTTTATTTAGTTTAACTCATTATTTTTAATCCCTAACAAGTTTAATCTGAATAAACAATAGTTTCGCCTGACAACATATTTTTTTCATTGTCACTGAACATTTATTCTAATTAAATACTAATAGCTTAGATCAAATAACATTTTATTTGAATAATGCTATCAAGTAGGTAGCGCTGATGAGCTTAAGATCAAAAACATAAAGAGATACAAAAATTCTAGGAACTGATATGCAAATTTAAGGTGCGATTTAAGTATCATAATCTTGATTTCCGTAATTTATTTAATATTTCATATTCAATCTAAAATGTTTCCATTTCGATAATAACTGTTGCCTCCAAAAACCTAAAATTCAGTCTGTGTAGCACTAACAAAAGGCACGATATCACAGGTGGGTTAAGAGATCGGTAGGGGCCCTTGCTGAACAAACGCAAAGCAAATCCTATTATTTTGTATTTGGATTAAACAAATAATTGTTTACCATCATTAAAAACACAAAACCAATTCAAGCAAATGATAGGGTATCATTGTAATGCCAGTTCCGATGAAAGGTGTTCTGTGACAGTACCAGAACTGCAATCTGAAATCTGGGTTGAGTTTGAGAAAACAATGACGTAAAGGAAAGGTAATTTCTCAAGCAGCACCAGCGAGTTCCGTGTACAGCATTCATTATATGTTTGGGAGATACGGGGTAGGTTCCGCATACCGATCCTTTTTTGTTTTTTGTGTGCGCAGACCTGCTTTGGTGTCGAAATTGTAAAGTTTGGCAAGTATAGATGCGATAGAGTTCCAATTGCTTCCACTATTCGTCCTCCTTATTTCACAACCACACCCGAAATTTGAAGTGCGATAAGTGACACCCCGCTGATAAGATTACTGCGTCAACGAAACCTAGCGTTCTTCTCAAAGTTCAATCATCATCTCATCGAAGCTAAACATGGACCAACTCCTTAGGCCAGATCAAGAAGAATTGATAGTCGGGGTGGCGAAACGAAAGGGTATCGTCAAACCAGAGATCCAAACGGAATCCGGCTCCAACAAAGGTGACAACTACCTCAGCGCGATCGTCAGCGTAACAGTACGGGACGAATTAGGCGACAGTAAGCTGAACATTATAGCGAAAAAGGTCCTGAAAGGGGTGCAATCCAGAAAGTCGCTAAAGCAGATCTTTTCGACTGAGGCGCTGGTGTACCAAGAGCTACTGCTGGGTTATCGCGAGCTCCAAGAAGTGAATAACGTAAAGGATCCCTTCCGAGGTTCGGCAGAATTCTACGGCGCCATCTTGGACGAGGAGAAGGAAACGATCATAATGCAATACCTGAAAGAAAACGGGTTCAAGCTTTGGCCGAGGAAGGTGCCGATGGACGCGTTCCACGTGGAAATAGTTATTCGGGAATACGCGAAACTCCCCGCGGCGTCGATGGCCTTTAAGAATGTTTATCCTGAAAGGTTTGACGAATACGAGGAAAAATTTGGATGACCGGGAGACAACGCGGAAAATAGAGACCAAACAGGGTTCGCAAATATAATAGCGGAAGTTGTCAAGATGTTCGAAGACAGGCAAGAAATTAAAACGACCTTGGAGAGATTTACGCTGAGTTTGAAAATGTTTGTGGACGACTTACGGAAAGACACACAGGTATTCCTGCACGGTGACTGTTGGTGCAATAACATTTTGTACAAATACGAGGTAAGCTATCCAAACTAAAGTTGTAATTGGTACTTGATATAGCGTACTTCCTCATCATAAATTCCTCCAAGGAGGTGCTGAGTGATTACCAGAAGTACCTAGGTCTCTATCACGACGTTCTATCGCAGAATCTAAGAGAATTGGGTCTCGACCCTGAAAAAACGTTTAGTTCCGAGACGCTTATGGACCACTGGAAAAAATACTCCAAGTTCGGAGTTCTGATGAGCGTACTGTTTCTAAGAGTGAACAGTGAAGATATCCCCGACAAAGTTGGTATGGAGAAGTTTAAGTTAAGCGACGAAGCCGAAGTGAGGTACAAAGAGAGGATAACCAATGCGATAGAGTTCATGGCTCTCAATGATCTTGCCTAATGCATGTTATCAATAAACTTATGTCCTGTTTGTTTCCCAAGCCGCAATTCAGACTGAAATGATTCACCACTTATTATCGATTAAAGTACATGTTAATAAAGTTTCCCAATTCAAATGTTTTTTTAACGAATCTGTGATCAATTTCGTAAGCGGAATATAATAAGGGCAGCGAAGAATTTTAAGAAAACACTTCAAATGGAAACAAATAAATCAGTATTTAATTTTAAAAAATCTATTTAACCCTATAGTCGCATTAAGCGTGATGCACCACAATTGAAATCCTCGTTTTAATGATAAACGAACAATCACGAGAAAACCACAGCGTTCAAGAATAAAAAATGTTCATATCAAATACTGTAACACAAAAAATTCTCGTAATCATGCAACTTTTTCACATTGCAAGGTGGTGAGGTGAAGCTTTCAATTTTTTTAAGTTTTAAGTGTCAATTTTTTTAAGTTTTTAAGAAATTTTAAAGAGACCAAACCTGATAAGCGTATAACAAAATTGACTTTATATAATAGCAAAACATAGTTCTTTTAACAAATTGAACTGAGGTGACTTTTACTTGATGAAAATCAATTTATCAAAATAAATAAGAACTAAAAGTTCAGATTTTCACGAAATTATATATTTAGACATGACAATTGTTTCGACAACACCGTGTCTTTATCTAATGTCAAAATATATAATTTCGTGAAAATCTGAACTTTTAGTTCTTATTTCTTTTAACAAAACCTACTAATGTTTATGCTTTGTTGTTATTTGTTACAGCTCTTCTTTACTTTTAAGTGTAACATTAAACAATAATTTTTTAACCCGTGAGAATTTAAAAAAATATATTTACATTTACCAAGTACAAATAAGTGAGCATTAAATTCCAAAAAAAAACTATTTAACGCAACCACATAAGCGTTTGAAATTATTGTTTTAATGTTAAAAATACTATAACAGACAACTACATCGTTCAAGAATAAAAAATGTTCACTTTAAATAATGTAGCACAAAAAATTATCGTCGTCATACAACTTTTTCACATTGCAATGTGGTGAGGTGAAGCGTCCTACTTTTTTAAGTTTTTAAGAAATTTTAAGACCAAACCTGATAAGCGTATAACAAAATTGACTTTATATAATAGCAAAATAGTTCTTTTAACAAAACCTACTAATATTTATGCTTTATTGTTATTTATTATAGTTTTTCTTTACTTTCAAGTGTAACATTATCTACGGAATATTCTAATTAAATAATTTCTTAACCTAAAAAAACTTAAAACCATTTACTACCAGCATTTAAGTTTTCTTCGATTCTCAAAGAATCGTTCAAATCCTATCCAATTTAAAAAGCTTTAGTAATGGGTTGCTGAGATATATAGGAAAACCATTTTCATTTGTTCCTTATCACAATTTACTGTGTTTCTTAGGTTAAAATATATGCCTCCCGCTTAGCAGAGGTAGAATTGAGGGCAGCTTCTCCAGAGGGTGAACACAGACTTATAGCCTACTATAAGTAAAATAAGTAAATTCTGATGTGTTTCCTTAATTCAATTCCAATTCCAGCGTTTTAGAAACATAATTTTCAAATATTTCACGGCCGTTTTTTTTTTAATTTATCCCTAACCAGATTAAGATCCGTTATATGAACAGTCCCAGAAATTTCTAAAAAAAAAACCTCATGTTCCTTAGGGTTTTTTTACGCAAAAAGTGGACGCCACTTAACGTTGTCCCGTCGCTTGTTTAGATCACTGATATAAGGATAGGAAGATTTTGTTTTTGAAGGAATTCAAAATTAAAGATCAATTAAGAAGTGGATCGTTCAATCCACTTGGGATTAACGACCCGAATTCCAAGGGCACAATCATGTAAAAATTTACTACGAGTACTCCAGCGTGTTCCCCCACTGCTCCAAACTTTTCATTTAACAAATACGAAATACTCGATGCAGAGCGACCTACATACAAGGATAACCTTGAGATTACTCGCGTGCATTTGGATCCTAAACAAATGGACAGTTTTGTGTTTATGTTCTAATCGTGCGGGTGATCATCGAAATGACAGTGCAACTACGGAAAGACCAACTTAACCTGATCAGGAAATCGGCAGAAGAAAATAGCCTCGAAAATTTCGACATCGAAGCCGACAAAGGTACCATCAAGGGCGACAATTACTTGGGAGAGATCTACACGATCCGCGTGAGGGAGAAAAATAGCGAACGGATCCTGAATATGATACTGAAGAGTGCGACAACGAACGGCAAAATGCGGGACGTGAACCTCGTCAAAAACATTTTCTCCAGGGAGGCTTTCCTCTACCAAGTGGTCTTGCCGGAGCTGTACAAGTTGCAGGAGGAAAAAGGGATAACGGACGGGTTCACGGGATCCGCCAGGTGCTACGGAACCACTGTGGTCGACTGTGAAGAGTCGATCCTCATGGAAAATTTGAAAACCAACGGTACGTGGACTAGCGTGCCTACAAACCGAACGTAAATAGTAAATAGCGATTAAAATGTGCCCCCCCACCCCCCGGCCAGTGAGCTTGGAATAAAAATAAAAGAAAAAACATAAAATTTTTCTATTCCCCAACGATTTTAAATTACAACAAATTACACCTCCGACCGATAGATGGGGCCACGAGTATGAACACTTCGCAAAACAGAAATCAAAAGTATTGAATTTTCATTTTTGTGTGCTACACGAAACAATGAAAATAGCGACAAGCTTTATCTTACTTTTGCCTATACGTTCAGCATAATTACACAGCAGTCGAGAATAATATTAGCCTGTCTTCTCGCTCTATTCTCGATAATATGACTGCGACACTATGACAATAACCGTTAGCTTTATTCGCAACTACAGCTCTGCTAGCCGGAATATATTTTTTGTTGATATTTTTTAATGATGTCTTGGTAGCAACTCCACCAAAAACAACAAGACTTCAACCACCAACTCGTTTATTAAGCGTACCATTGCAGGTTTTAAGCTTTGGGAACGAAGGAAGCCGATGGACGAGCACCACATCGAACTGGTATTTTCAGAGTACGCCAGGTTCCACGCGACATCGATGGCCCTAAGGCAGCTGAAGCCGGAAAAGTTCTCCAAGCTCAGCGAGAACCTGGGCGAGGTGTTCGAGACCGACAAGCCCGAAGTTCAGGAACAGTTGAAATCGTACACGAATTCCCTTTTCCAGTCGATCTTGGAGGTCGTGAAGGTGGGCGACCCGCTCAGAATGCCGGTCGAAAATTTTTGCGCATCTCAAGAGCAGTTTTTCGAGGATATGAACCGGGAGAAATGCGTCATCACGCACGGAGATTGCTGGACCAACAACATGCTGTTTAAATACGAGGTGAGAATTGCGTACCATACTGCTTAGTTGGTCCAATTTTATTTTTGACCCGCCTCGTTTCATTCTGTACTGTGGCCTTCTTAAATTTGAAATGCAACCTGCAGACATCTGTCTTACCATTTCTCGGATTTTCTCGTTTCAAATACTTTGCAATCTTAAAATTCCAACCTGCACGAAACACTGCTCGTTCTTCTAGTTCTCCGTGATCATCTTCTTCTTCTTCAATAAGTTCTTTGTGGTATTGGTATTCCATTAACATGTTCCGGCATCTTCCAGCATCAATTTTGCATCCGTTTATGTTAATTATACGTTTACCTGTTGCCCAGTCGCTTCTTAGCTTTAGCTCGTCTTTTTAATAATTCAGCAACGCTGGGTTTTCTTAGGGACCGGACCTCTCCAAACCGACCAGGGTGTGTTTCCTGGACTGGCAATTGTCGACGGTAGGAACCCCCGCCAAAGACCTGGCGTACTTCTTCTGCGTATGTACTCCGCGGGAGCTGCTTTACAATTACCGAAAATATTTCAAGCTGTACTACGAGACGTTGTCGAAGAATTTGAAGGAATTCGGCTGCGATCCGGACCAAGTGTTCAGCTACGAGACTCTGATGCAGCAGTGGAAGAAGTACGCGAAGTACGGCTTATTCGTGGGCATCATGGTGCTCAAGGTGATGCTGTCTGATGAGAGCGAGGTGCCCGAGCTAGGGGACATGAAAGTGGGAGACCACTTGGCCAACTTATTCAAGTTTGGTGAAGAAAAAGAGCGGCTGTACCGCAAACGCGTTATCGACGTCGTCAAGTACCTGGTAGATCACGACCTCATGTAATTTTTTTATATTTTTATGTAACGTTTGTGCCGTTCAACATTTTAAATAAATTTTCTCAATTGAATTGTGGATTTGTCACTGCAATGTGCCACAGCTACTGCTTGATCAGTACTGTCCACGGTTATTTGGGAGGTAACGAGGGAATCTGTTGGGTCCCCTGATATTTCTCCCGTATATGAAAGAATTTTTTCATAAGGCACTCATTTCCAAAGGTAAAAAAAGGTTATGTTGATCAGAGGGAAACCATTGTATAAAAAATATATCCAATTTTCTGGAAAGTAAGTGCAGGTGTCCATGTTCTGGATCCGCTTACTTACTTACTTACTTACTTACAAGTTACATTAAATACTACTAAATTCTCTCTCCGGGACCCCAGCATTCCGAATGTAGCTAGAGCATGTTTCATAGACTGGCAACTAGCCCGTACTTAATCTCCAGTCCTTGATATAGCATAATTTTTCATCATAAAATATTATCTCATAATCACAGAAAACTGGGTGTCAACCCTGAAAAAACATTTAGCTTTAAGGCTTGTGAACTGTTGAAAAAAGTTTGAAATTCTGATGAGGAGTCTCCTTAGAATAAAAGTTTCCGATATAGTAAAATTTGAGTTAACTGACGTGGTAAAAGTGAGGTGCAAAAAGCGGATAATGAATGTATGTTGTCAATAAAGATAACAACGAGATAATGCATATTTAATAAACCGCGTAGAAGTAGGCATATCGTTTTCAAAATAACGCAACACATTTCGCAACGACGCGAAACAATTCGGCAATTATCATCGATCGTCGCATTTGTAATCAGATAGATGTGCCGCGGAGATGACTCAGGACAATATTTTTCACGTTCAACGCCTAATAATATTTAATATTTCCGAAAGTTATTTTATAGACAAGTTTTAATAAAAGTCAATATGTAAGTCAAAGCCTGTTACATAAAAAAGGAGAAAATTGCAAGAAACAAAGATGCAGAATAAAGTTACTCTTATGGTAACAATCACATAGAAAACTGCAAGAAAACCCGCAAAAATATGAAATACTAATAATGTTTACTTCAATTTTCAAATTTTTCGTCAAAAATACTAAGCACAGAATTGCTGAAAAACTGAATTTGTTGAAATGTTGCTTACTGTAGTTTTGACAAATTTTTTTATATAAAAATTAATTAATAACTTGTTTTTGAATGGAATTTGATCGAAATCGGCTGGAAACGCGGAAGTTTCATTCGTTTTTTGTTGTTATTTCATCAAAAATCCTTCTTACAGCTATAGCTAACAAAAACTAATCCAAAGGTTTTCGGATGATAGCTCAAAGTTTGAAATACTTTTTAATAAAGAAATCGAAATCAATGTAAACAAAAAAATCCCCCTGAAAGCTACCCAAAACTATCCAAAACTAATCCGGAAAGCGGCTTAAAAAAAACACCAGGTTTGTAGTAGTTTTTAATACAAAAGTGGGTGCAAAAGACATTTTTCATTAGAATTTGATCGAAATTTACTGGACAACGTAAAGTTTTCTTCACAATTTGTGATTATTTCGTCAAAATTTATTCTTGCAGCTAGAGCTAATACAAATTAACACAGATGAAAAGTGCAGTTTTATTTAAATGAGGAAAATATTATTTTATAATGGAATTTTATAGAAGTTGATTTGTAAAACTGGGGTTCGCTCATTTTTTATGGTTAATCCGTCAAAAATCCTCCTTGGAGCTAGGCCGACTAACCCAGAAAATTAAGTTTTTAGATGATAACTGCAAATTTGAAGTACCTTTTAATACAAAAATGTGCGGAAAATAGGTTTTTCTACTCCCGTCAGTTTACCACGTCAGTTTCGTTTCCCATGATTCCGAGCCACTTCGTACATTTCCTGAATTTAAACGCACGGATTTGGGAGCAATCGGATGTTTTCCGAGATATTTCCCACGCTTTGAATTTGACGTTTGCCAATTCTGAAGTATCCAACACGTTCGGTAAACTTTTTAACTCACTCGTTTATTAAAAACTCGCTCCGCTCGTGTCAAATAAACGCGTGACTCAAATGCCTTTTACCGCACTTGTTGCATAATATACTATCTTCTACTCCCGTCTGTAAAATACCTAATTACCCACCGATCTAGCGTGCGGGAAGGGTCACTTTGCCACATCAGTTTCGTTTCCCATTAATCCGAGGCACTTCGGACATTTCCGGGATTTTACCGCACGGATTTCGGAGCAATCGGATGTTTTGCGGAGATATTTGCCACGCATTGAATTTTGAGGTTTGTCAATTCTGACAGTCATGTATTCGTGTTGTTTTGCGAAAATTTACCCAATGGTCGTAGAAAAAATATAGTATGCGACACGTTCGGTAAACTTTTTAAGTCACTCGTTTATAAACTCAAGTTGACCGCACTTGTTGCTTAATATACAATTTCGCTAGGAGATTAACCGACATCCACTAGAACAAGTGAAATTTTACTCATTTTTTGGGCCAACCAAAACTAACCTAGATAGTTACGTTTTTAGATATAACAGCCGGTATGAGGCACTTTTTGAAACAAAACGGGGTGAAAAAGATGATTAAATTTTGCTTGTTTTCAAAGTTCTTGCAAACGAAAGCGCTGAAAGCCACGAAAAATAAAATGTTTTAATTTAATTAGGCAAATTTTTGAGAAATAAGAATTTCTGACGATGGTCAATATTTCTAAGAAACAAGTCAGAATATTTGACTTAAGTAGCTCGCAAGGGACATAGCAAATCGAAACATCAACTATACAGAGTAATTCATAAAGAATGGGCATACTCTAAATTCGAGGTAGTAGACAACCAAATAATATGAAATCCCATAATTTGTTTTGAGGTTTTCTCATTACTATTACCAAAAATTGCTATTGTTAAATATTAGTTTATTGTTCCCCGTATAATAAAAACAAAAAAAATTTCTTGAACTTTTTAAATGCAAAATCAGAATAATTTGAGGTCTAGCACTCGTTCTTCAGAAATTCGGACATGTTTTTTAGTAATTCTGCCTGACGTCATTTAGCTAAGTTAACTAACACCGATATTTAATTTTTGGTGGCCTTTCTGCGGTTTCGTACTTGTACTCTCCAATATTGTCTAGTCATTCTTTAGCAATGGGTTACCTGCCGCCCACTACATTTTTTCACAATCAAGCGAGATCTGTGTCGTCAATTTGGAAGAAACAACGCAAGTCAAGGTACTCCACTGCCTAATCTGAAGGTGGCAATCACGTAATAATTCACTACGATTAATCCCGCGTCCTCCCCCACTCCTCCCAACTTCACAATTAACAGATAACAAATACGCGATGCGGAGTGGCCCACATTCTACCGTTCAACCTTGAGATTACTCTCGTGCATTTGGATCCCAAACAAACGAGCAGTTTTGTGTTTATCTTTTAATCGCCCGGGCGATACGCGAAATGACTGTGCAGCTACGGGAAGACCAACTGAACCTGATCAGGAAATCGGCCTATGAAAATGGTTTCGAAAATTTCGACATCGAAGCCGACAAAGGTACCATCAAGGGCGACAATTACCTGGGAGAGATTTACACGATCCGCGTGAGGGAGAAAAATGGCGACCGGGTGCTGAATCTGATACTAAAGAGTGCGTCGACGAACGCCAAGTTGCGGGAAGTCGTCGTCATCAAAAATATTTTCTCCAGAGAGGCTTTTCTCTACCAAATGGTCTTGCCGGAGCTGTACAAGCTGCAGGAGGACAAGGCAATATCGGATAGGTTCACGGGATCAGCTAAGTGCTACGGCACCACTCTGGTCGACCAAGAGGAATCGATCCTCATGGAGAACTTGAAGTCTGACGGTACGTAATATAATGGCCCCGATCTCTACATAGAAAAATCGGTCGAGCGATAACGCATTTTGCGCAATATTCGATCACCGATAATCGATCAGAACTAACTGGCTGCGTTGTATTATTTATCGAGGATGTAGCGAAAAAAGACTTTGAACCGTCCGTTTCGTTTAGTTATTTCAATTTCCTCGCGTTGCATGTAACCTTGGTTTTCGTACCACAATTTGCGGTGTTCGTGGCCATCGCTCGAACAAACTGCAAGATGATTAACATTATCAGTGGATACACACTGTCGATAAATGCACCGAAACCTTTGTTTTAGGAGAGTTTCTCTTTAGACGTGTTAAGTTTCTTCAAAAAATATTGTTTACAAGTAAATAACGTTTTGCGGAGCGGAGTTTGTTGTAGCAGTGTGCGACATAGGCTAGAAATTGACTCTTACCTACTACACAGAACGCCACTGACAAAAAATTTGCCATGAAATACTGAAATTGCTTTTACTGCCTTCAAGGATTCTTTAATGAAATCACAGCAATTGATAAGTAATTGCGTATTGTTTGTTTGTGTGTATATTTATTTATTTATTCATTTTAATAATGAAAGCGTATTAAATATAAAAAAACAAATGGAAATAAGTTTTGAGCACGAAACCAAGTCATTTTATTATTTATTGGCAACTCCTGGAGTTTATTTTTTATTTTGTAAAATTCCTAGATTCAATGGTATGGCATAAAAAATACATTTTATACATTTCGGTCCATTTGGTAATAACAGTTATTGTTTTATGCATGCCTCATGAGATTTTGTAATGTACTTTTGATTTTTCGGAGCATGTCTTAAAGCTCATTAAATAAATCTGTACTGCAATATAACTTGTTACTTTCGAAAATCGTATAAAAATTTTATATCTCGGTCCTGTGGGTCCTATGGGATCGCCGTTGGTACAGATGTGATCACCGTCGAAAAAAAAATTTTTTTTGTCTGTCCGTTCTCCGTTCTCTGTTCTCCGTCCTCGTCTTTTGGTGTTTCCTGAATAACTTTCGAACCCTTGGAGCTACAAAATTGAAATTTGCGTCCTTTTTAACCCTCCATGAGGCACATAAGCTTATAAGAAATGGCCCTGATCCGACGCCGGTATCCATCTTTTTTTCGTGATTTGCGACTGTTTTTTGGACCTTGCTATGAAACACGATAAGGGTCCGAAATTTGAAGCAATCGACTTGATATTTGGCACATATATGCAGCTTTGCCCCATGACGGAACCCATTGAAAATGGGGGGGATGGCGGGTCGGGAAGTATTTAAAAAAATAATAAAAATCGCGTGTGCAGAGGTCTACAAAAAATACCATTTTTCAAAAACCGTTTACAAGAGCGGAAAAATTCTTGAACCAGAAGACGTAGAGGAAATAACTGCATTAACTTTTATTCTTGACAATTTTTCAAAAATATACAGAGTGCGCCGCAAATTCAAAAAAAATGAAAAATGTGTCTCCCTATTATTGAAAATTGGCATTAATTTGAAATCTGTAGATGTCAGTTCCTTTTACATGACGATATAGACAGCTTAAACTTTTGTATTTTCGGTTTTTAAGTATTGTACAGGGTGTTCGCGATATTTCGTGCAATATTAAAAAACATAATAAGTACTCCAAATTTGCAGCTACCGACTTCAGACTTGGGAGAGAAGTTGTAGTCTGGACCCGCATTTTTAAATTGGGAACAAGGAAATAACGCGAAGTATTTTTTTCAATTTTTTAATTTTTTTGTGGCTATTTTGGCATCCAGAAAAACAGCTTTTCCTCCAAAGCCATTCATTCGCTCGAGAAAATTTTACATCCGTAATACGTGGAAGACTGGGCGCTATAACTTTTGTTTCACGCACTTTTTCGATTATATTGAACGTTTCATGGTTTCAGAATACAAGTAGTTTTTTGAAAACCATTTACTCCATTGAAACAATTCGGATACCAGGAAACTAAGGAGATCCAGGGCTATACCTTCTATTTCGAACATTGTTGGAATTATATACAGGGTACGTCGTTTATGGGCAAAAAATTCTAATAAATCCTAGAAATTTCCGCTTTTGTGGGTGAATTATTGGCGATACATGAACGACTTTTAAAGATGTGATAATTTGATATGAACAGTATCGTAAACTGTGTCGAGAGAGACAGAGAGTTTACGGTTTCGTCTATAATACAGAGGTCGCAAGATATTTGAAAAAATATAATTTTAAATTGCAATTACCAGTACAAATTTTAATATTTACCGAAGTGTACCGTAACTTTGAAGTTCGACGAGATGTGAAGGGCACTTTATACAGGGTGTATTAACAATCAAATTACATACATTTTGCGAAAGTTCCATAGTGGCCTCTCTAGGATAAGAATCCGCGAAGCGCCTTCTTTTTAAAATAAAAAGGTGATTCGCGCCATTTGCTACGAACTTGCCCCACTTATCGACGATTTTTCGAAAGCAATCTTGATTTTAACTGTTGTCTATGGCTCTACTACAACTGCTACAAAATCTATAAAAAATAATATCTAATAATTACGCAATAGAACAAACTGATAACTGATATGAACTATCTGTAAAAAAAATCAAAACTATCCAAATGTCATATTAGGCTTATAACGAAAAATAAAAAGCGTTTTTATGTTGCACAATCATTCATTACTAGTTAGTAATATTTATACATTCTGCATGAATACACAAAATAGTATATAAATCAATTTATACTTCGGAAAAAGTCTTGCAATAGCCATAAAAACTAGCACACGAATAGTGTATTATGCAACAAGTGTAGTAAACGGGATTTGACTGCGGATGTTTAATAAACGAGTGACTTAAAAAGTTTACCGAACATGTTGCATACTATACTTTTTCTACGACCGTTAGTTTTTGGGTACATTTTCGCAAAACAACACGAATACATTCACTGACCGTCAGAATTGACAAACGTCAAAATTCAAAGCGTGAGAAATATCTCCGAAACCATCCGATTGCTCCCAAAGCCGTGCGGTAAAATCTCGGAAATGTCCGAAGTGGCTCGGATCCGTGGGAAACGAAAAAACCGTTAATTAATAATACTCAATTTTAATTTTAATGACGCTTTGGTTAGATATGCGCTGCAACCTACTACCATTTCTAAGTTGGAGCTCACTCTTTTCGATCAAAAAGGTTTGTCGAAATTTACAATCCATTGCTCTATCGTTGCAGGTTTTAAGCTTTGGGAACGAAGGAAGCCGATGGACGAGCACCACATCGAACTGGTATTTTCAGAGTACGCCAGGTACCACGCGGCGTCGATGGCCTTGAAGCAGCTGAAACCGGAAAAGTTCTCGGAGCTCAGCGAGAACCTGGGGGACGTGTTCGCGACCGACAATCCGTCCTCCCAGGAAAGGTGGAAGGCGTACGAGCAATCCGTTTTCCAGTCGATCTTGGAGGTCGTGAATGATGACGACCGACTGAGAATGTCGGCGGAAAACTTTCGCGATTCCAAAGATCAATTTTTCGAGGATTTAAAACAAGAGAAATACGTTATCACGCACGGAGATTGCTGGACCAACAACATGCTGTTTAAATACGAGGTGAGAATTGTGTACTATACTCCTTAGTACGTCTTATTTTACTTTATTTCTATCAACCTGGAAATTCCAACTCTGCTCGTTTTTCTAGCTCCGCGTAGCCCTCCTTTTCCCCTACCATCCTTGTACCATCTTTGCATCTTCTAGCCCAAGTTTAGCATCTGTTTGCATTAATCACAAGTTTACGTGCTGCTCGCTCGCTCTTTAGCTTTAGCGGCGTTTAAAATAATTCAGCATTGCTCGGTTTCCTTAGGGACCGGACCCCTCCAAACCGACCAGGGTGTGTTTCCTGGACTGGCAATTGTCGGCGGTAGGAACCCCCGTCACCGACCTGGCATATTTCTTCTGCGTCTGTGCTTCGCGGGAGCTACTCTACAATTACCGAAAGTATTTCAAGCTGTACCACGAGATCCTGTCTAGGAATTTAAAGGAATTAGGCTGCGATCCGGAAGAAGTGTTCAGCTACGAGACTCTGATGCAGCAGTGGAAGAAATACGCGAAATTCGGCATATTCATCGGCATTATGCTGCTCAAGGCGATGCTGTCAGATGCGGACGAGGTGCCCGAGCTAGGGGACATGAAAGATGGAGACAACTTGGCCAACATGTTCACTTTTGGAGAAGAAAAAGAGCAGCAGTACCGAAAACGCGCCATCGACGTTGTCGAGTTCTTGGTAGATCACGACCTCATGTAATTTTTTATATTTATATGTCAAGTTTGTGCAGTTTAATATTTTAAATAAATTTTATCGAGAAAATTGTGGATTTGTTGATGTAATGGTCCCCAGCATCTTACTCTTCTTCTTCTTTCAGTGCAGTCAGTTATCTGACGTTGACAACCACTTGGGAGAGAAAGCATATCGGTCTTCTGAAAGTTTGCGACCCGGTCCAGTCACGTATGGTATTTTTCGCCCCTCATTAAATGTACCAGACATGCTATTTTCCTTCGTTTGCCAGTTGTCACGAGCTCACGATGTGTCTTTGCTCTTCTCAGCACTTCCTCGTTCGTCACTCTTGTAATCCACGAAAATTTTAAGATTCGCCGAAGAGTCAACATCTCAAATGCTTCCAGACGGTTTAAGGTGTTGATCTTCAGTGTCCAAGACTCGACTCGACTGATACTGACTTAATAGAAAAGAAAACTGGTACGCACAGTCTCGGTTACGTTTGTAATTTTTATATCCGGGTCAAGGGTATCTGTAATCAGAGAACCTAAGAATATGAACCTTCTGTCTCTTTTTATACGCGCTTCATTTAGTTCCAGATGAGCATTTTGATGTGGTGAACGGCTAAATATCATAAATTTAGTTTTTGTTATATTTATGTATCTCAAGTTGGTACCCTATTCTCCTTAATGCCTACATCCACCCTTTCTAATGCTATCCTTATGTCAATGCGTACATTTTCCGCCTGGTTGCAATATATGTTTCTTATGATTTGGAGGTCCCTTTGATCGACTCCTGCTCTCTGTAGTGCTTTAATGAGTTTCGTATGCTACACGCGATCGAAGGTCTTTTCATCAATCAATCAATGAAGCAGGCAAATACGCGCAACATTCAGTGAAGAATCGGGCATTAGAGCCAACAAAAAATTGAAAAGCGCTGGGTCCGGACGAAGTACCTGTGGAAGGGATGAAGCTAATTGAAGAGCAACATCTGGACTCTATAACACCACCATTCAACAGAATATACGTAACGGGGATCATACCAACGGAATGGCTAGACTCGACCTTTGTTACAATACCCAAAAAAGCTAATGCACAAAGATGTGATGAATACCGTACAATTTAGCTTGATGAGTCACACAATAAAAGCAGTCTTGAAAGTTATACATCTCAGAATATTTCAGAAACTCGAAGATAACATCTCGGATACCCAGTTCGGTTTTAGAAACGGATACAGTACTCACATTGTCTAGATGTACGCCTGCTTCATCGATTACAACAAGGCGTTTGATAAAGTGAGGCATAACCAGTTAATAGAAGTGCTAAACCAGAAAAATCTGGATTGGCGAGACATCAGGATCATTGTCCACTTTTACTTTAATCAAAAAGCAACAGTAAGAGTGCAAGAAACGATGACTGATCCTATAGAAGTGAAACGGGGCGTAAGACAAGGCTGAGTCCTCTCGCTGCTTTTATTCAACATCTACTCTGAAGAAATATTCACCAGAGCCCTTGTATACTTGTAAAAATAGAGGCATTTGAGATGTGGACCTATTGAAGAATGCACAGAATATCGTGCATGGAGCACACGACCAACGCAGAAGTGCTTGTCAAGATGAACAAAGAGTTAGAGGTATTGAAAGAAGTGAAAAGGAGAAAGATCATCTATCTGGGTCACATAGTGCGGGGTCCAAAGTATGAGCTGCTTCACTTGATAATCCAGGAAAAGATTGTGGGCTGAAGATCAATTGGAGGAAGATGAATATCATAACTGCGGAATCTGCGAGAATGGTTTAACATGTCTTCAGCAGATGTTTTCAGAGCAGCGGTTTCCAAGTTCAGGATTGTCATATCTTTAGCAAACTTCCGGAATGAAGAAGCCACATGAAGAAGAAGAAGGCAAATACGTCCTTGCGCTGGTCTCGGTATTTTTGCAGCAATACTGTCAAGGAGAACATGGGTTCCCTAGTCCCCAATCCGTGCCTGAAACCAAACTGCGTCTCATCAAAGTCGAGCTCACATTTAGCTCTTATTCCGGCATGTACAACTCTCAGGAAGGTGGCTCCTGGTACTAATTAATCTTTTGCATGAAGATAGTAGGTTGTCAGGTCCGATTGCTTTGGTTTTTTTTTTTCGATATTGATAACATGCACAGCTTCAGTTTTCGATATAAGGGGCCCGATGTCTTGTGAATTGGGTATTGCGAGTTCGTCAGGTCTTTCATCTTTACACAATTCTTCCACGTAGTTTTCCTAGGCCGATTGTTTTTGCTCTTGTTCGAGTATCAGTTTGTTGTTCCCGTCCATGAAAACTGACTAAATATTGCTCCCACCTTTTTCAGATTACGATGCGTGTTAAGGAAGTCATGTTGTTGGTTTAAGTTCTGCATCTTCTCACACATATCCCTCATCCACTATTCTTTGGATTGTCTAATATCCCTGTTTATTTCTCAATGTAAAGTGTAATGTAATTATCATCTTTAGCTTTTCTTCGTTACTCCATTAAGACCAGGATCTCGTCTGTCATCCATCCTGTGATGTTTGTGATACTATTAATAATATTCTGGATGTTTGTCCAATATCTGTTGCCATCATAATCCGATCTGATAGTAAAACTGCTCAGGCCTGTGTTTATCTCCTCTGAGAATGCTGTTCTAATATCTTTATTCTGTACTTTTGTTCGATCGAGGTTTACTGTCTTCTCAGTCTTTTTAACTGAGGGATTGTGGTACGAGCTTATGTCCGCTGCAGGCTACGTTGTGGCACGCTTCAGACAGTTGCGCATTGGGTTCGTCCTTTTCCAGAGGTACTATTTCAATCTCTAACATCCTCTTACACCAAGCGAAATTAAAGTAAAGATTGAAGTCAGAATAAAGGTTTTATTGGATCCATTGTGTAAAATAACTTACCAAGATATAACATAAGGCGCTCATTCTCAAAGTAGAAAACATTAAACTGCAATTGCAATAGATATATGATAATTGATGGAAATGCAACAGATCTCACACAAGCATCAAATAATTGTATAAGAAAACTCTTGATTTCAAGTTGATCTGGTATTGCAAAGAGTTCTTAAAGATAAATTCTAACATTTTGTTTTGTTCTTAATTATCATTCGGCATCCTAAACAATAAATTAGAGTTTCATTTAGAAAATTTATTATTTTTTAAAATAACAACTCGTAAATTGGATTTTTTTCCCAAATACCTTTTTTTAGTGTTAAGTTATTTTATTAATATTTTATATTTATATTTACTTGGGTATTTAGTGACATACAAATATTAATAATATCGTTGCATTACCTATTTTCCAGAAAATAATTTTTGTTTGCGATTATGTCAGAAAAGTTCACCTGGCATGGAGACATGGACGTTTATTTAAGAATACGTTCGAACTAGCCTTTGAAGATATGAATTTGCTAGGCTTTAAAACAGTACGCACTTTCACTATGGTTCAATTTTTGTAGGAACCGAGTTTTAAAATTCATAACAATTACGCTCCCTGCTGGTCATTTCGACAACTCAATTATAATTTCCGGCATTTTTTTTTACTCAATATATTTTTTTATTTATGCGACTGTCAGTTTCTCTAATACCCGTTGCTCTTACTGGGACACCCTTTACATACGTTGCGTGTCAATCTATTTTCCCTAAAAATAGCACTCGAAGTATTTGTTTTTTTTTTCTGGGAGGAGCGCTCGCCAAAATTAGGAGAGACGAGTCGAAGCCGTTCGCGCCATAAAAGCAGCCACGATTTATCTCCTCGCTCGCCCGCCTGGAGGGCGCTACAATCGCCAACTTGTTCGACGGATGAATTCGCGCAGTCTGATTGACTTACGAGGGTATTGTGTCGAGGTGGTCGTACGACCGGCATCTTGGAAACGAAAGCGGCCGCCGGATGCGATAAAAGCGCCCGCGCAGGTCCGGTCAGAGTTACCAACTGTCAAACGCGGCGTTCTTGGTGAGATACTTGGTTTTGGTTAGTTGCGTTTTGATCGTAGTGCTTATGACATTTCCGATAATGCGACCAATAGAGATTTTGTTAGGCAAATTTTGTTTAAAATGAGATGGACAGTAATGGAGATTGTTTCCTTTGTCAATTAAAAAATAAACGTCCTGCGTTGAATTATAATATACATTTCGAGACACCTCGGTTGCGACATGGTGGCTCGTAGACCTTATGCATAATTACACTTTCTTTCTCAAAATATTATCAACTGGGAGCATGAAAATAAATAAAATTGTAATTGTATTGTACAAGTTATCTACAGGACAAAAATATCAAACCTGTGTTTATCGCTTCCCTTCTTATTTATATTTGCATAGCAAGAGCTTACCACGTCAATGAAAAAACGCAGATATTTAAAGACAACATTAAAATACAAAAGCCAAAACATAAATTAGTATAAATATCACGAAACCCACAAATCAATGTCCGCCTATATCCAGAATCATCAATATCCTTTGATATACGACGTTATAGATTTATTTCAATTTTTTAACATGTCTTCCACGTCCACCACATTTTCATATGGGATTAATTTCGCAAACATATTTTCACTAGTCGAACCGCAGACAAATACGGGGTACGGACCTGGTTCCTGATGAATATGGTAATTTTCTCTCGGTACTCAGATTTATATGTTACTTTCATCGGCATTGTAAGCGACATTGCAATGACGCTTCTATTATTTGTTTTACTGACGTGCGCTCCAGACATTTTACGGTCCTTTTTACCTATTCCTTTGAACAGCGCTTGTTCGGTGAAATGCTAGTCGCGAATTATCATCTTTTTTTAAAAAAAAAAAACACTGTCCAACCGCCGAGCGGGCGGAAAAACTGGGGGCCTGGGAGGTGGCGGACGTTCATCGATAGGCAGACGTCAAAATTATGGTACCGCTCGAGGTTAGACACATGCCGAATTATGGATGGCTCCAACCTTATGGTTAGCGGTTTTCGAAATGATAGAGATGAAGTCCTCGATGTTCGTACGCCTCTGGCAAATTGAAAAAAAATGCCAGGTTAAAAAATGAATCGTGGCGTTCACGCGATTCAATTCTACTAAAAAAATAATAACAAAAAAAAAAGTTTTTCAACGGCAACATCCCTGGTGGGGATCGAACCCACGACCTTTGGATTAGAAGTCCAACGCGCTATCCTCTGCGCTACAGGGACCGACATTAATTTGTTCTCATTTTCCTATGACACGAAGCGCCGCGAGTTTAATCATAAAATAATTTTAAATGAGTTTATTTGAGAACTTTGGAATACAAAAACTTGCATGGCAAGTAAGAGACGCGATGCACTAGACTCCTTAAACGATTAGTCCTCAAGGGCTCGAAAAGATTTTGCCCAAATTCGCGGCCGCACTAATTATCTTCCGTTTAGGATACAAATTTATTCAGGCAGGGAACTGAGCCACGTAATGATCCTATTTTCCTAAGGTATTTTTAATGTTTTTAATGTCCACTTAATATTTAAATATTCAAATTGGACTTAACGACGGACGACGTCCCGTTGCCGGCGAAAAAATAATGGTTCCGATTATTACGATGCTAACGTGTCGCCGTTTTCGACCGGGGATTGCAACAAAAAACATAGTCATTTTTCTCCTTAAAACGATATTACCAATGTTAAAAAACAAAGAAAAAAAATGAGGTTATGTCGCTACTACCAAAAGTAAGTAAGGACAGCTACCGTCTTTGAGGCCGTAAGTGATATCGGCACGCCGCTGGTATTCAAATCCGGGGCGGGGAGACGGGGGATCACAAATCTAAACCGAATTCGGGCCAAACGTCTAGACTCGCGCTTGGGGGCGGGTTATTATCAAAAAATGTCTATCGAACTGAACAAAGGCCCCCAAATTAGAGCCATACCCGCCGCCTTTTGTATAATTGCGCCCTTTCGCCATGATAATTGCCCGGAATTCGTTCCTGGAAGAATCGGACTTTAATCGGGTAAATAATTGACTCGGAATTTAAAACTTGCGGCGAAATTTCGTCGCAAACTCGGGTCAAGCAGCGCCCTCTACTACAATTACAACAATTAATTAAAATCAAATCGAAATGGCGAACTACATTAACTGAAATAGTAAAATAATATATAATAAAATTGTGAAGCAAATTAAGCGACTACGAGCTTTTAATGAAAAAAAAAATAGAACTAGAACTCACTGGATTTTTAACCAAAATTTAATTATTCGCGACAGTGTTGGAAATGGTCGAGTGCCTCTAGCACCGTGCGAAACATAGTAACGAAGAAAGAAAAAAAAATACGACTCTCTTTTCGGTGCGATTTTTATTCTTTGCCTTTGGTCCAATGTTCCCAGTACTATCCAAAATGGAAGACGAAGCATAGTAAGTTAACCAAAAGTTCTGTTTATTTTATTTACCGATCTGTGTTTTGATTTGTAAAGTGATTCCTGTGACACAGAAAGGTTTGCTTACAAAAGTGATTCTCCGTATATCAACACGAGACTGTACTATCCTAAATGTGGTGCAAATGTTGGGGGTGTTGAAAATGAAATTTAACTTTTAGAAATTTCAAAATTGGCTTCTTCAATTGGCTTGGGTCAACATAAATAATAACAAAGCATAAAGTTTAATCAAAACAACTAGTAACACCCACGCAAACTGGTACACACTACAAAATGGTACACTCAGTGTCAAATGTAATAAACCACCACACATGGGTAAAGTTAAGTTAGTTGGCGGTTTAACCACTCCCTGTTAACGCGTAACGCGTAGCAATCCTGAATCGATGTTAATTTAACCCAACTCTGTATTAAGCCAACCCCAAACTTGACGTCTTATTATGAACAAACGAAAAAAGAAATCATTTTTAACTTTTAGCTTCAGATTTTGAACGCGGGGGATCGCTGGGGTTTTGCGAGCCAAAAAGATGCCGCGACAATCATAACCCGCGCGAACCAGCTAAATAACATAATTAAAAGTTAAATATGAATTTAAATGCATGAGTCTCCGGGTGGGAAAAAAAGAGAAACGTCGACTTTTACGTTCGTTTTCAGGAATTTATTGATATTGGCCGCGACGAAAGAACGAGCCGCCACCCGCCGATGTGGGAGGGCCCCGCCGTATTAACAATTTTATTCCACTAATGCGTCCCGTATATTAAAAGCCGAGAGTTCCATTTAATGTCTCCCGGCCGTAAAATGTTTTCATCACCTGCGCGGAAATTAACCATTGGGGGAAATTGAGTTGTAAAATGAAAACGTGTCGCCGTGTTTTTTGTTTCGGTGCGCGTTTGACCTCTTCTCCTCCAAGCTTGACGACGTGACTGAACGAACTCCGCGAAACCGCGCTTCGACGGACGCACGGGGTCCGCAATGCGCTTGCTTGTCGTTTCGATCACGTTCTTGTAGATGCGCTTCGTACGACCGTCGTCAAAAGTCGACGCAACAGCTTAATTTTACTGGGAGAACAGAAGCCGCGATCGGTATCCGATTCGTCGCCGCTGAGCGCGCCATCTCGCGCACGGTAGCCGCATCAATTAAATACATCATCGACCGCGACATCGGAGAGGGCAAAGTACGGACACCCGATGACAGATGTCGCCACCGAGACCGCGCAACACAATTTTTAAATTTGTAGTGGCGTTTAAGGTAATTTCGGGTGGAAAAATAAAGAAAACGGCCGTCAAGTGTAAAACTGAGTATATTTTTGGCACTCGCGCCAACAAAAAATATCAAATATATAAATAGCTATACAAAAAAGAATTCTGGAATGTCTAAAGTAAGTACAGTGGACGTAGGAAACTTTCAAAAAACGAAAATTTCGCAAACAGAAAGCGCGTAAAACCTTTGTACATCCGTTTGTTGGGCCGTCCAAGCAAAGAATGGAATGTTGGCCGTTCGAGTCTCGCGCTCGAACCGTTAAAAATTACACAATACAAGAGAACCGCTAAAAGTTAAATTACGATACAATCAACCTATTTCTTAAACGTCATGAAAACCGCGATTAATAAAAAATATGTGTGGCTCTTTACAAAAATACTCGCACGCCACTGCGTCGTGTGCGGAGATTCCATAAACTTCCAAAAGTAACAATGCAATTATATTTTTAAGCGACACGTATATAGTCTCGTAAATATTAGGTAAACGGGACAACAATCTAGTAGGCTCGCCCACAGTACAAGCGTCGACGTAGAGGCCAAGAACGGCAAGTCAGAGAGGACAGTTATATCGAAGATTTGTTTCCGTCAGTGACGTCAACCGGTCAACCCGACACGAGTTTCATGTGTCGTCATCTGTAGGAGGATTTTAAGAAGAATAGATATAATAAGCCTCTAACTTTTGAGCAACGGGGTGAAAAGGTTTTAAGACAAAAATCATTGTTTCTTCATAACTTCGCAGATAGTGGACAAATATGGACTAGATATTTCTGAGTAGAGTTTTATGTTAACCACTTGTAAAAACTAAAAATATTGGAAAAAAACTTACACAACTATCCTCTCCTGGGTCGCCGTTATCGGGAAGTACCTAGACGCTTGCGTCTATTGCTAAAGGGCCCTTTCAAAAATTGCACAGTACAAAAACTTAACTTCTACAAACGTATATCGATCTACAGAACTACGTTATAAAAATTCTCTCGTATATTCCCTAAAAAATCACAAGAAATCAGAAGCCACCTGTCGCATTAAACGATGGCAACAAATTGTACAGGGTGTACAGTGTCTTGTCAGTGTGACAAATGACAATTTTCACCGTTACAAGGAGGAAACATCCAAGCAACTGGACACCCCGTCCAGGACTTACCTACGACGTCTACAAAACACGAAAAAAAATTTCACAAATTGGACGTATTAAAACAACCATAATCACAGCAAATAATTGAAAGTTTTTACTTAGAACCAGCGTACCAAGAACGATATTATTGCTTTGGGTGTGGCGCCCAACCATTTAACACCATTAAATATAAACAATACCACCAATGCCACCAAGAACCTTCTTAGCTGGTTTATGTTCAGTTTCAATATTTTGACGCCCCCAAAATAAATAAAGCTGGAATAACGTACAGGGTCCGGTTTTTTGGACACCGTTAACGGCTAAAAGTTTATCCTGAGACGCAGTCTCATACAACTGGCTTAACTTGACGCCCGACTCGAAATACTCGGAAAAATCGTAACAAAATGGTTCCCGTCATAATAAGTGTCGATCAAATGCTCTCGCTACAATACAAGTCTAAACGAAACATCTCGTCCGGCATTGAACGGGGGACGAGCTCAAAATAAGTAAGGTTAGGAACAACGCGGTCCGCGACGCATATTTTTAGGTTAAGTTCGTCGGGTGTTGTTTTAAAACGGCCAAAACCTATCCTGCAACGCGGGGCATCCCACGCGGCCGGCGAAATTTTCAAAATTCCCGCACGCGCGTAACAAAATGGCGGATGAGTCCTATGAAAAAAATATAAATATAAACGAAACATCACATTCGCGCTTGTCACGACGGCCGCCCTCAGACCAAGTTCTCTTTCTTGTTGACGTTGTACGCGAGCTGCGTGACTATCGTCGTATTCTCTTCCGATTCGCTGTCGGACGTGTCCGAAATGTCGTTCGGTCGTTTCAAGGACACGTTCGGCAATCCTCGACACCTTTCGCCCGGGTTCGACTCGAGCGTCGACGATTTGCTGGACGGCGAGTACTCGGAAGTGTTACCCTCGTCGGAAGGGCCGTTGTCTTTATGGGAGAACCTCAGGTTCGCCGGGCAACGTTTAGCCCTGCGTCCGGGGTAAATTGGTCTCCTCGCCAGGCTGCAATTAAGGGTTGCGTTATGAACGACGCGTCGGATGCGTGGTGGGGATTCGGAAAAAAGAGGTGCATACATTGTATCATACTATTTTTCTCGAATACTAGGCTACAACCGCTAAAAACTTCCGGATTCCTCCTGTGTACTAGCTAACGTTTCGCCAATCATCCTGTTGGCTTCTTCAGAGCTTTTACTCTGTACCTGCTTTTATATTGTTTGAGGGGGCGGAGCTAAATGAGGGGCATAAACACCGTCTCGCTTAACTGATTCCCATATTGGTGACACGTAAAGACCTAAGTCGCGTTAAGATTGTTAGGTTGCTTGTAGATTTATATAGACTCTCAGATTTTTCGTAGTAGAAGAATTGATTACATGCAAGAATTTTAGTTTTATTGAATAAAATTTTATATCCGGTTTTGTGATTGTGTTCGGCAACTGCTATAAACTCCTGGCATCTCAAATGGAATTTTGTCCTTGACGGATCGAAGATGTTGAGAGATTTCTGGACCAGTGGTAAATCTGGTTTTGACGTTATACTTCTTTAGAATTTTTGATATGTGGTCAGTGATGTTTTGAATATAAGTCGCAAGTATGGGATTGCTTTCGGTTTCATTGCTATTGGAAGGTTGTGGTGAAGTGTATTTTGTGATGGAACGCTTAATATATTTAATGTGGAAATTATTAGAGAGAAGAGGTAAGGTGTTTTATTTCTGAGTTCAATGACGCGGACTGAGATAGGTTTACGGCTCTGTAAACGAGAGAGTTGATAACCGATGGTTTTTGGGGCGGATAGTGATAGAGCAATGCATTAAGGTATCGATCTGTGTGCCTAGGTAGAAATCTATAAACAACCTAACCCGCGACTCAGTTTCTACCTGTCACCAATATGGGAATCAGTCATCCGGAACGGTGTTTATGCCTCTCATTTAGCTCCGCCCCTCGTTGTGTGTGTGTTAAAAACTTCTGTTTCTATAAGTTTGAGGACATTGGAGTTAACACGGGGAAAAACATTGTTACGGCGAATGGCAGATTTCAGTTGGTGCAAAACATGTTCAATGGGATTAAATATACAGTGGTAAGGTGGAAGCCTTAAACCTGTATGCCCTGTATCACAGACGTATTCCTTTCGTAAATTCAAGCTTTGTAGAACCTCAATTAATTAATTGAGGTTCTACAAAGCAATTGCTTTTTGGTATAATCTTCCTGAAAATAAATGTCGTTATTATACATGTAGTTTTGGATTGTTGCTTTTGTGTCACACGAGGAAGGGGTTTTAGTCAACTGTCTACTGTGATAACTTGCATTGTCCATTACAATGACGCTATTAGGAGGAATGTTTGGAACTAGTTTGTTTTTAAACCAACTTTCAAATAAATCAGCGGTGGTGACTTTATGATAATCCAGAGAAGAATCTTTAATATTTTTCGCAGACAGAGAAAAAAATCCAACCATCTTTAGAGCCAGCATGCAAAATAGTTATTCTTTTATCTCTTTTTGATGGCGCGTTTGTTTTATACTTATCAGTTGAGTCAACCCAACCCTTTTCCGGGGTATCATAAGTGTCGAATGATTCGCCTTTGTTGTTCTCTGTAAATCCTATTTTTATCTAGATATTCCAGTCGCCATTTCCGAATTCCAAAAGATTCCATTAATTGGCAATTTTATTAAATCTAAAACCCATGTGTTGAATACAATTCCATAAGCTAGGTCTGTCACATTTAACACCGGTTTCATCTTTAAAATATCTAATGTAGGCACGCTTTGTTCCTCGTATAACTGGTAAATTTTACGCCGTATTATATCTTGATCACTTTCATCTACACTCGAGAAAATGTCAGCATCGCTTCTTTTTTTCCTCGCTGAAATGGGATTATTCACAATTTTCCATACAGTTGATGTTGGCGTTTTCGTCAATGTGGCCGTTTCTTCTAAAGATGCTTGCTTGCTGACACCACGTTCAATGACAGTCAAATAAACATTGTTTACAACTTCCTTAGTCTCAATAGAATAGCGTTTTCTACATTTGGAAGGGACATCTCCTGAGATACACTAGACTCGCACACAAGCTGTATTACACACGAAATAAGAACGATTACTAATAAACTTAAACTAAGTAGTATACCAAACCAAAGAATATTAAACACAGGTAGGTATAAAATTATTTTCTATTACGGACCACAATTTTACCCGAGTTTAAATTATGAAACTTTAGGTAATAATCTTGTTGCATTGTATCTTAATGGCCACCCTTGGATAATCCCATTCAAAAGCAATTCGTCACTTTCTTATATCTATGAACAGACCATGCAGAATAAAATGCGAGCCAGTTTCAGCCAAATTCTGAAGAAGCCAACAGGATTATTGGCGAAACGTTAACTAGTTCGAGTCAACAAAAACCGACACAGGAGGAATCCAGAAGTTTTATAAGAAGTATTATACTAGCCTGGGGTAGTTTCTATGAACAATTAACACGCTATAAATAGTACTTTTTTCATTTAATCCTCCACCCCGAGGATCACTCATTAAACGGTACGACGTCATTCGATAACACCCGGTGTACACCTCCACTTTCCTATCACAAACAAATTCGATTGCGCATGTTACCTCAATTTCGCGAGTTCCTTGCCATGTTTGCTAAGGGAAACAAGAAAACTAATCTCAAACGTAAGCATTTCAAGTCCCCGACATTTTGGAGGCAAATTTTCGTAACCGCATCCCAAAAAATCGACTCACCTCCTTCGTCTGAGGCTACTGTAGAACTCGCCGTCCTCGTCCGTGAAGCTGTCCTCGTTCGCCGCGTCCTCCGTACTGTCTAACTCGTCCTTCGTCTCCGACATCGTCCTCCTTCTGATGAACTCAAGGTTGTCCGAGATGTTACCGTTCTGGGGCGACAATATGGTCATGGCGGATATTTTTCTGCTCAACGCCTCGAGGTTTTCCTCGCTAGACACCCTCGGGGTGCCGTAGTTGCGATTGACCGCGTCTTCGTCGACTGAGGGATCCAGATTCTTAAATACCTGGACACCTGCACCAAGAGCCCCGTCAGTGTCCGTTCTCATTTGAGGTGGACGGGACTTACCTTGATCAAAACGTTGTACCATGTAGTGTAACTGCACTTTATTGCCGTTGATCCTCTCGTCGTCGCTTCTAAACTCCTGGAGGATAACTCTCTGGGGGTAGACCGTCGGCTGGGCGCTCGAGCTTTCCGGGTCGGCCAACGTTGAAGTCGGACTGCTGAGGTCGTTTTCGCTGATGTCCATGCAATCGGTTTGAGTTTCGGCATCTACTACAACCGACGCCCGACAACTGGAGGCCCTCGAAGAGAATCCCGAACTCCTGGGGGAGCTGGAGTTGGTCCTGTGATGTCTCCTTCTCGAACCCGCCGACGTTTGAGTGGTCACCGTCTCCGTGCACTGGTTCAGAGTCGCGTAAGTCGGTGCTTTTGATTTGGGACTATCGGGACTAGTCAGGCTACATTCCGGACTTGTCGGTGTGGTGCTCTGCTGATTACCCACGGATCTCCTCCTATCCATTTTGTTCCAGTGCAAGAACCCGCGCCTTCTGTCGCACGTGCGGTCTACTTTGGCTCGCTTCCTCTGTTTCAGTCCCGACAGCTCGGCGTACAACTGATCCACCTGCTTCAGTTTCCTGCCGTAGAGTTCCTTGATGTCCAGAATGTGCTTGATCTCCATCTCGCGCCTCTGGATAAGCTGCTCCTCTTTCAGGTGGTACTCGAACTTGTGCTTCTGCATCTTCTCCACGAACTGGGTGATCTGCGACTTGATTTCCTGCTTCCACGTCTCCTGGGTCTTGAAGAACTGGTCGTCTTGGTATTTGGCCAGGATCTCCACCGACGCTATCTCCAAGTGATTGCAGATGAGCTTGAACGACGGCCGCTCTTTCGGGTTGTGCTTCCAGCACATCTGCATAATCAGCTTGAAGCCGTCCGGACACGTGGATGGGATAGGAGGGCGCAACTTGCCGCAGCCTACCGAATACATTATCGCTCCTGGAAACCAAAGAGGCACATGTCTCAATAACAGGAAATGAAGTTTAAGAATTACGATGAGTACCTTGCTCCATACCGTCGTAAGGTACTTCACAGGTCAGAAGTTCCCACAAGACGACACCAAAAGACCAAATGTCCACCTTCTCGCTACAAGCGAGTTCCTGGATAGCTTCCGGCGCCATCCAGGCCACCGTTCCGGCGAATGTCATCTTCTCGCTTACTCCGTTCCAGGTCCTCGAGGTGCCAAAGTCGCTAATCTTGATGATCTCCTCTTCTCCGATCAGTACGCTGCAAAAGGCGCATTTAAACCCAAACTAAAATAAGCTTTAGAGAAACCCACTTCGGACTTTTGAGGTCCCTGTGGATAATCTTGTGCATGTGGAGGTAATGCATCCCGCTCGCGATCTGCTTGGCCCACGTAACCACCCTGTTGATGGTGACCACATTCTTTTGGTTCTTCAGTAGGTTGAAAAGCGATCCGTACGGACAGAATTCCATCACTATGCAGAAGCAAGGCTCCTGCGTACACACCCCTTTGAATTTGACGATGTTGGGGTGGTTCAACCTCCGTAGGTTGATTATATCGGTGTCTTTGAGTTCAGCCACCTTCTTGACGGCGATCGGCGTGCTGTTGAGGAAGCCGGAAAACACCGCACCCTGACCCCCCGAGCTAATGAACTCGAGACCCGTGATTTTTTCGAAAGGGATTTCCCAGTCATCTGTAATACAATACCAAAATACCATCTTGAATTTTGCGAATGTGTTCCATAAATACACGTTTTTAAAAAATTAAGAACTATTGGTTAAGGTGAGTAATGTTTCAAAGCTGAGACACCTATTTAGCAAGTAATGTTGAATATTGTAAATTTTCCTGAAAATAACTTATTTTTAACATGATGGAATGTTTGACTTTTGACAAAAAACCGCTCCTTTTTTTAAAAAATTAATAAGACTTTTCTTGAAGGGTTCTTAAAAATCAACCGCTATTTGCAAAAAAAAAACTTACCCTGCGCGTTTTTGTTTTCGGCCACGCCTTTACCGATGATGGACAGGACCGGCCTCAGGCATCCGAAAATTCCGTTCACCCATCCCTGTTTGGGGTCGTAGGCGGGCTGTGGGGTGTCGGGAGAGCTGTCTTGGATGACGGGCGGAATGTTGACTACCGCGTCGGCCGCCATTTTTTGTAAATCATCCTCGATAGCAGCCAAACTGAAACGCGTAAAAAAACGGTTGGAATGACACGCGCGAAGGCCTCATTAAAAGGGATTATGCACCCCATTTTTAGAAACGCGAGGACCCCTCGACACGGCACGCGCCCCTTGGGGGGTTAAGACCGGATTATTCCGTCTTCGGCAAATATATATATACAAAGGCGACGATAGGATCGTCATTTTATATGCGCTTTTTTTTGCGTTTATTCTAATTACTTATGCACCTATACATGCTATGCTATTATAGAAGAAATGTAAAAATGCTCTTTGGGCCATTACTTTCGGACCGGAATCAAATTGGCTATCTAGACTTAATATCTAAGAGACTTTAAGCTATCCTGCTTCGATCGCACTTATGTTATCGGATTCTTGCATGGGTGTGGGATTGTCGAGTGTCATCTGAGAAACCTGGAGGTATTACCAAAGCGCATAATCAAAGAGATCTGGGACTAACATGGTTTTGACACCATGGGAAAGATAACTTATCCGATGGTATGTTCAATCTTTCAGCGTGTAACTATAAAAGATGCTTCCAGATGATATTGCTATTAAGAAAGCAATGAAAAAAAAAATAAATAAAACAGCTGAATAAAATTGGATAGTTGAGAGTGGCAGATTTTCATAGAGTTGATTAAGCGAAAATAATCTCATTTTTCACACCAATGTCATGTACATATATGATTCTGTGGAATTCGAAATATTTAATGATTATTGACTTCTGTATTTATTCATATAAATTCTAGCGGGATTTGATAGAAATCACAACAAGTCGCACTAAACATTCATTAATGAAATTTGTCGGAAAACACAACAAACACAAAAGAAACAATTAAACTTCCACGGACAACGGAGGATAACCTATCTAACGACTGACAGCTGTCAAAAAGGTCCGCGTCAAGACTATTTATGGTCCATGAACGTTACAAAATAAATGTATTGTATCAAATAAACATTAATATTGTTATTTTTATTTCACAGCCCGTACGTTCCACATAAAACGTGAACAAACCTAGTCAACGTTTAATTCATGGGCTAAGAACCCTTCTGACTGCTGCACATTGATAGTGACAGCTTTCTTGAGAGAGGCCTATAACGCCTTTCGCCACTTCAGGAATTTAAAGGGCTATTTGTCGATTAGGCCGTTCACGTAATTACTATTTTTTTGCCTTATTTATGACAAATTCACACAACCAATGCTTTGCCACAGAATCGGAAAATTAATGTGCTAAAAAGTACTGTTTTGGCGATATCTGAAATGGACGAAGATATCGAAACGCCGTGTTAACGTTTTTTGTTGCAAATTTAATATACTTTGGACGATATCAAAATTATACCTTGGGATTTTGAATTTTCGTGATAAAATTGAAAAACTGCTAATATGGAGAATTGCTTGCGTGGCGAATACATTTACACTTACATTTCTCTTTCAAAGTTTGTCGGAGTAGGATAAGTCGTTTAGAAGATACGATTAAATATTAAATATATTAAAAACAGTTTGTCATTCTCTTAAGACATTTTTAATTGGAACTTGAATTTAATATTTACAAATTTGTACTACTGAGGGTGGTTCGATTGTATAAGCGCCATAGATATGAATATCGTTACTTATTTGTTAGAACTCTGTTTTTTTGGTATGGATCAAAAATTTGTTACCAAACAGTGCCACTTCATGGATTAGTCCGTAACCTACACACATCGTTAATTTTGTTTCTATAAATGTGGAAATATATTGAATAAGTTGGCCGAATTGCTTTATGAAAAAGCGACCAAATTAGCGTCATTGAAGAAGAAGGCGACCAATATGGCAGAAATCAGCTGACTGGTGGCAAAACCGTGGTTTGTATGTAAGCTGACATAGTTTTTGCGGTTTCTTCGTGTTATTCAGTAATTTAAATTTATTTTGTGATATTTTTACTTACTTTAGTGTTTATGCTGGTACTTTATTCTCTTAAAACAATTTTATTGAGATATAACTCTTTTTACAAAGCTTCTGGATTCCTCCTGCGTCGGTTTTTGCTGAGTCGAACTTGCTGACGGTTCGCCAATCATCCTGTTGACTTCTTCCGAGCTTAACAGAAACCGGCTCGCATTTTATTCTGTATCTGCTTATATATTGCTTGAGGGGGGGCGGAGCTAATTGAGCGGTATTAACACTGTCTCGGATGACTGATTCCCATATTGGTGACAGATAAAGAAGTGAGTCGCTGTTAAGATTGTTAGGTTGTTCATAGATTTCTACAGATTTTTCGTTAGTAGAAGAATCGATTACATGCAAGAATTTTAGTTTTATCAATCAATCAATTATGTCCGGTTTCGTAATTGTGTTCGGCAACAGCTGATGAGTTTATTTGTCTTAGTCGTAAGGCTCTTTCGTGTTCTTTGAGCCTATCGTCTATAGAAATCTATAAACAACTTAACAATCTTAACCGCGACTCAGGCCTTTATCTGTCACCAATATGGGAATCAGTCATCCGAGACGGTGTTTATGCCCCTCATTTAGCTCCGCCCCCCTCAAACTATACATAAGCAGGTACAGAGTAAAATGCGAGCCAGTTTCAGTCAAGCTCTGAAGAAGCCAATAAGATGATTGATGAAACGTCACCAAGTTCGACTCAGCAAAAACCGACGCAGGAGGAATCCAGAAGTTTTTTAAAAAGTATTACAGTAGCCTGTGGAAATTTTTCTGAGATATAACTCATTAACTGGAACACTCAAATTACGATGTCATAATCCGAACGCTACCTCCGTAATCAGAACGATCATGTAAAGACTTGTTCGCATTACTCCCTTAAGCAGTTAAACAACATATATTTTTTTTAAGCTACCTTATAACATTTTTGTATATACAACGCAATAAGCAACCACTTGAGAGCCATTTTCCCGCCTCTCGCTCTGTCAAAATATCGATTAGTAGAAGGGCGTCATTTATAATAAGCATAGTTTTTGGGTGCAGTAAAATTTTATGAAATATCTTCCCGGCATTTCTCGGTTAACCGTGCATTCGAGTTTTGCGGGCTATTGTTTGCATTACGTGAAATTGAAAAGACTTAAAAGTGAGTGTTCTCACCAGTACAGCAGTTGAATTTCATGATGGTTTCGTTTTATTGGCCTACATATCCAAAGTATGAAATGATTTATTGAATGATAAAGTATAACCAAAGAATTTAGTTAAATATTAGCGTCTCTGCTCTCAGTATCGATTGCACGATCGGAATAATCAGCAGTAGTGATTGAAATAGGTACTATGTGTGTCCTGCCCTTAGTACCAATATAATGATGTGTGTTTCTGCCTTTCAGTATATTATGGCCTGACTTGTTTTTTGCACTGCAGTGCCGGTGTGGTTATTTGCGACAAGATATTTCGCATGTCCCTGCCTTGCACGATCGGAACAATCGGCACTAGTGATTGAAATAGATACTATGTGTGTTCTGCCCTTAGTACCAACCTAAACTCAGTTCTAGATGTTATGCCATGATAAGATATATCTGTTAAAGTCTGTTCATAGATATAAGAAAGTGACTAACTGATATGAATTAAGGAAAGACCCGGGCAAGCTGTAAGAATGAAATATGGCCGAACAGGTCCGTACTTTGCTTAGAATTTAATTATTTGGAGTTTTGTTAGGAAAGATACTAAAAAATATTTATTTAATTATATATGTATTTATGTTTAAATCTAAAATAAAATTACAAATTATTGTTATTACCTACTTAAATTACTAAAAATTATTCACATAACATATCAGTATCACTATCGTTATCATCGCCTGTTCTAATTATTATTTGTTCTATATTATTTGCAATATGGATATACGATTGTTCTGCTTTTTCTATATGTTTAACAGAATTTGCCCAACTTTGTGGAGGGATGTTAAAAACTTCTATAAGTTTTGAGGACATTGGAGTTAACACGGGGAAAAACATTGTTACGACGAATGGCAGATTTCAGTTGGTGAAAAACATGTTCAATGGGATTAAATATACAGGGGTAAAACTGTATGCCCTAGATTTTTTGCATAATTATGACAGATGTATTCCTTTTGTAGGTTAAGCTTTGTAGAACCTCAATTAATTGCTGTTTGGTATAATCTTCGTGAAAATAAATGTCGTTATTATATACATACAGTTTTGGATTGTTGCTTTTGTGTCACATGAGGAAGGGGTTTCAGTCATCTGTCTACTGTGATAACTTGCATTGTCCATTACAAAAACGCTATTAGGAGAAATGTTTGGAACTAGTTTGTTTTTTAATCAACTTTCAAATAAATCAGCGTTGGTGTCTTCATGGTAATCCAGAGAAGAATCTTTAATATTTTTCGCAGGCAGAGAAAGTCCATTTGGAATCCAACCATCTTCAGAGCCAGCATGCTTTACCTTTTATTTTTCAAGCCTCCTAATTAAGATATCTAATGTAGGCACGCTTTGTTCCTCGTATAACTGGTAAATTTTATGCCGTATTATATCTTGATCACTTTCATCTACACTCGAGAAAATGTCAGCATCGCTTCTTTTTTTCCTCGCTGAAATGGGATTATTCGCAATTTTCCATACAGTTGATGTTGGAATTTTCGTCAATGTGGCCGTTTCTTCTAAAGATGCTTGCTTGCTGGCACCACGTTCAATGAGAGTCAAATAAACATTGTTTATAACTTCCTTAGTCTCAATAGAATAGTGGGCGGGAGCATCTCCTGAGATACACTATTCAACACACGCTGTATTACACACGAAATAAGAATGATTACTAATAAACTTAAACTACGTAGTATACCAAACCAAAGAATATTAAACACAGGTAGGTATAAAATTATTTTCTATTACGGGCCACAATTTTATCTGAATTTAAATTCCGAAACTTTAGGTAATAATCTTGTTGCATTGTATGTTAATGACCACCCTTGGATGATCCCATTCAAAAGCAATTGGTCACTTTCTTATATCTATGAACAGACCATATCAATGTTTTCAGGTGATATTAAGTGATATTAAGTTTGTTTTATT